GCCAAAACGTAGAAACAATGTAAATGTCCATGAACAAATGAATGGATAAACAACATGTGGTATATCCAGACAATCGAATGTTATTCAGCCATAAAGAGAAATGAAGTCATGAAGCACGCCACAACATGGATGAACCTTGAAAACATTATGTTGAGTGAAATAAGTCCATGGCAAAAGGACAAATACAGTATGATCTCACTTACGTGAAATAGGCAAATATATACAAAACAGGGATGTCATTGCTGATGTCAGACAGATCTTGGCTGAAAGCAGAGAAGACCAGAAGGATACTTACCTGTGTTTTATTGACTATGCAAAGGCATTCGACTGTGCGGATCATGACAAATTATGGATAACATTGCAAAGAATGAGAATTCTAAAACACTTAATTGTGCTCATGTGGAACCTGTACATAGAACAAGAGGCAGTCGTTTGAAGAGAACAAGGGGATACTGTGTGGTTTAAAATCAGGAAAGGTGTGCATCAGGGTTGTAGCCTTTCACCATACTTATTAAATCTCTATGCGGAGCAAATAATCCAAGAAGCTGGACTATATGAAGAATAACCTGGCATCAGGATTGGAGGAAGACTCATTAACAACCTGCGATATTCAGATGACACAACTTTGCTTGCTGAAAGTGAAGAGGACTTGAAGCACTTACTGATGAAGATCAAAGATTATAGCGTTCGGTATAGATTACATCTCAACATAAAGAAAACAAAAATCCTCACAAATGGACCAATAAGCAACATCATGATAAACAGAGAAAATACTGAAGCTGTAAAGGATTTCATTTTACTTGAATCCACAATAAATGCCCATGGAAGAAGCAGTCAAGAAATCAAATGACATACTGCATTGGGCAAATCTGCTGCAAAAGACCTCTTTAAAGTGTTCAAAAGCAAAGATGTCACTTTGAGGACTAAGGTGGGCCTGACCCAAGCCACGGTATTTTCAATCGCCTCGTATGCATGTGAAAGCTGGATAATGAATAAGGAAGACTGAAGAAGAATTGATGCCTTTGAATTATGGTGTCGGCAAAGACTATTGAATATACCATGGACTGCCAGAAGAATGAACAAGTCTGTCTTGGAAGAAGTACAGCCAGAGTGTTCCTTGGAAATGAGGGTGGAGAGACTTGGTCTCACATACTTTGGACATCTCATCAGGAGGGACCAGTCCCTGGAGAAGGACATCATGCTTGGTAAGGTAGAGGGTCAGCAAAAAAGAGGAAGACCCTCAATGAGATGAATTAACAAAGTGGCTGCAACAATGGGCTAGATCATAGTAACGATTGTGAGGATGGAGCAGGATTGGGCAGTGTTTCCATCTGTTGTACATAGGGTCTCTATAAATTGGAACTGACTTGACAGCACCTAATAACAACAACATAGAAATCAAAGCTTATTAGTGATTACCAGAGGTGGGGAGGAGGGGGAAAGGAGGAGTCATTGCTTAGGGGACGCTGAGTTTATGTTAATGGTGGTGGAATATTTCAGGAAAGAATAGTGGTGACGGTTGTACAACATAAACAATGTAATCAATGTCACTGAAGTATTTAACATGGAAAAATTGTTCAACTGGCAAATGTTTTGTTATATACATATTTTACCACAATAATAATGATAATAAAAAGAATATCCATTTATTTGGGGCTTTATCTGATAGGATTTAATTATCCACGTGCCTATGGATCTTGTCGGAAAGCATACTGACTTACGTGCATCCTCCCGCCCGACTCCCTGAAGTTGCAGTAGCTTCCGCTGAGGCTATGGTGCACTTCTATTTCTAGGTTGCCTCTGTGGCCTCTAAGGTGGTGGACTGGACTGGTGTCAACCACACATCCCACTGAAGGGTCCCAATGCCATTTAGAGCAGGAACCATCAATGTTTGGTTCTTGGCTCATCGGATCTGATTTGAAATGCATCTAAGTTCAGTGATATGGGTTAGCAGGACAATGGTTTACCCTCTAAAGCACAAGATGGCTACTCCATTAGTCCTGACAATCACAGTGAGGCTATACAATGGTCAGGTGCCACTAGAAGGCCTAAGATAAATGTAGAAAGAAGGCCAAAAGCGGATTAAGGAACAGGGACTACAAAGGCAGTAACTGGAGTTGAAGTTAAAAAAAAAAAAAAAAGAGAGAGAGAGAAAAAGAGAAGGGAGAGAATTAAACAATTAAACACACGTGCTAGAGAATGGCCCCAAGTTAGGCGACTTAGGTAGTGCCCTTCCCATGGGTATTTGCATGGAGCTGGTCTGCTTGTAGGCACCACTCAGAATTTAAATCAGTTTGCTGTGAAGGAAGGGAGAATGGTGGTTGGAACTTTTCTAAAAACTCAGGCTGTCCAGGGATGAAAGGGTCCCTGATATTAGAATGGAATCCCCATTTCCAAAACTCCCAACCCTCAACCTCAGTCTCTTGGCTCATGAAACTTTAGTTATAATCTAAATAAGAAACTGTACACCAGGGACATTCCTGGAAAGAGGAGGTATTGGAGGCCTTGGGTAGAAGGGAATGGAGGAGAGGGCCTGGTAAGGATGACAAAGGGGGGAACAGGCAATGCATGCACAGGAGAGTGGGGTACAGTATGGAACAAGGAGAATAGCAAGGTGGGGAATAAAAAGCAGTGGCTACAGCAAGGCATGGGCAGAGTATTCTGAATGGCTCAGGTAACAGTGACCAAAAGGACAGGTAGGGATAGAGAATGTTTTATGTTGCTATGATGTAGGCCTAGTTAACTCAAAGTCAGCTTGGTGTCCACCATTTGATAAATGGCATGATCTGTTCCCTGCTGTGGATATCTCCTTCCACTCTCTACCTCTTCGATCCTACTTCAGTCACACTGGCCTTCTCCCTATTTCTTGACACAACAAGAAGGATCTACTTCAAGGCCTTCCTGATGACTTCACCTGGGATGCAGGTCTCTGCTCAGTTACCACCTTATCTGAAGGGCCTTTCCTGATCAGAGCAGCTTCCTGCCTCAGCACTTTCTGCCCCCTTCCCTGTTTGACATCTTTCCCTTGTGCTTGTTGTCACCTGATATATATTGATTTATTTAGTCTTTCTGCCTCCCCCAATAGAATGTGAGCTCCATAAGGACAGATTTTATTTTGCTAATTTCTGTATACTGCTCAGCACATAGTAGGCCTCATTAAGTGTTTGTTGAGTGAATGCATGAACCAAAAGCCATAGTATTTACATAACACATAAAGAGTTCTAACTGATCAGATTGTTTGGTGTTTCACCTTGCACCACCTACAAGGGGTAGGGGCAATGGTGGGAAATGATTGCAGTTGGGAAGACTTGGTAAAAGTTGCCACGTTCTGTGAAAATCCAGATTTGTGGCTCTGCTCTATGGGTTGTAGGGGTGTGTGGTGGGCAGCCTCAAAAACGATCCCCAATGATCCTCACTTCCTGATAGTCACATGTCTGTGTAGCGCCCTCCCACACTGAATAGGGCTGACCTGTGTAACCAAAAGGATACTGCAAACAAGATGGAGTGTATCCTCTAAGAGTGGGTCATAAAGGCATTGTGGTTATGCCTTTCTCTTTCTCAGATCACTCCCTCTGAGGAAAACCGGCTGCCATTCTGTGAGGATGCTCAATTAGCCCATGGAGAGAGCATCAAAGGACAGCAACTGAGGCTTCCTGCCAACAGCGAGCACCAAGTGAGTGAACCATCTTAGAAGCGGATCCTCTAGCACCAGTTAATCTTTCAGATGATGCCACCCTGGATGACATCTTGACTGCAACCTCATGAGGCCCCAAGCCAGAAGTACCCAGATAAGTGGCTCCCAAATTCCTGACTCACAGAAACCGTGAGTAATAAATAATAAATGTTTACCGTTGTTTTAAAAATAGTACACAGGTGTTAGGAAGGTTAATTTTTAGAGAAACTAAAATGGGTGATGTGAGGGCCAGCAACCCAGGTTTGAGTTGACATGGGTATAACTAGCATTGTATCTTCCACTGGTTAACTGCAGCCCGTTTCCCCAGCTGGTCCCATTTTGATTCTGCAACTCTTAGTAGCCACAAATGCCACCTGTAGCCTCAATAAACTTTATTTAGACACAGACACAACAGAAAATACATACACAGATACAGATATTTTTTTTTTCTATACGATAAACAAACATCACACAGTGAATTTAAAAAGTAGGTGCATGGAAGGTAAGAAAATATTGCAAAGTTCCTTGTTCACTCACACTTAAAACAGACACAGATTGCAGTGGGAGACAGGGATATACCATCCCTACAACAGAATTCACATTTGGTCTATAACAGTACACAGGTGGTAGGAAGGTAATCAATGGAGTTAGGGATCCAGTGACTCTTGGTGTGACAGATGCTCACAACGCTAGTAGGACTCTGTTTAAACAAAAGACACAGTAGTGGAGGATTCCATACCCCCGTGCAGATGCTCGGCAAGCTGGCAGCTAGGTCAGAAAGCAGCTCGGCAGAAAGGCTATGTGAGCTTTCATCTTGCCGTCTGAAGGTCTGCACAACCTCTACCTCAGTGTCCACATCATCGCCTGTTTACATAGACACACTTGGGTGCTGGGCTGTCCATGAAACCCTCGACATGCACGCTGACTTAGAAACCCACAGGACAGAACATTGGCATCGGTTTATAAAGTGTTGCTTTAAAAAGGAAAAGGTGTAATAGCCAAGAGGAGAAAAAACTTTGCGAATGCTGCCGTATTCATTGGCAGTGTTTCCCACCACACTGCCCGTGGCTCCCCGGCTCAGGGAGCCACAGGCGTCTGGGTCCTGCCCCACACCATGGGTGGAGCAGCTCAGATGTCTCCTGGAAGTCTATTTCCCTCTAAAGTCACTCCTGTCAGAAGCAACGCATGTCACCAGGACAGGCGGCAACTGAACCACCCCACTCACTCCTGTCCCGGGCACGCCTCTGGCCTCCACACCATCTTCACATTTCAGACTGGTTCTCCCCAGGCAAACTCTGTATTTAGTAAAAAATGGTTTCCACTGTACCCTTCGTGTGTCCTCTTCCTAATGTGACAAATCCAGATGAGATGAAGTTATGGAGATCAGGCCCTCCACTTCGGTAAGTGTCCTTCCCATAATGCCCTGCAAAGAAAATGGAACCAAATTTACATGGCGAATCCAGGACATCAACACAGAAAATGAACGCAGCTCAATCTCACCCAAAAATGGTGATGCACTTTTTTCAAATCAGCAGTTAACTTAGAAGATAAACGTAGTCATGAAAAAAAAAAAAAAATTATATATATATATATATATAGAGAGAGAGAGAGAGAGCACTGGAATGAGGCATTGGTGGTTCAGTGGTAGAATTCTCACCCTCCATGTGTGAGACCTGGGTTTGATTCCCAGCCAGTGCACCTCATACGCAGTCTCTTTGTCCCACCATCCTGTCCTTTGTCCCAGCTTCCTCCCTTCTTTCTCTTCCTTGCCTTGTTTGCTTGCTTTCTTGCCTTTTCCAAGCATACAGAAATGGGTTTGATCTATGGGACTGCTCTATGTATGCGTATGTTTTATGAGTCTACCACAGCTTATGGGATGGCAAGCTTTGTGGCTTAGGGATATCCAACATCATCAGCTGAGGCTGACAAGTAGAACGGTGGTTATAAATATTGGAAAAATATTTATGTGCTTTCCTCTTTTGACTTTCTGCAGTAAGAACTTACCCCTTGTCAGCTAATGCATCCATCCACCTGTGGGGTTGGGGTAGAGAAAAAGATGGAGGACAGGTGAGGACTGTGGGAGAAGAAACTCAAGGAGAGAGAGAGTCCATGTTTAGCTGCCGACGTTCAAAATGTGTCGTGGATTGAATTGTGTCCCCCAAAAATGTGTGTCAACTTGGCTAGGCCATGACTCCCAGTATTGTGTGGTTGTCCACTATTTTGTGATCTGATGTCATTTTTCTAAGTGTTGTAAATCTTAATCTCTGCCTGTGGTTAATGAGGCAAGATTAGGTTATGTTAAAGAGGATTAGGATGGGATGCAACACCCTTAACTCAGGTCACAGCCCTGATCCAATGTAAGGGGAGTTTTCCCAGGGTGTGGCCTGCATCACCTTTTATCTTACAAGAGATAAAAGGAGAGAGAAGCAAGCAGAGAGAGAGGAACCTCATACCACCAGAAAGAAGTGCTGAGAGTGGAGCACATCTTTTGGACCCGGAGTCCCTGTATTGAGAAGCTCCTAGATGAGGGAAAGATTGATGACGAGAACCTTCCCCCAAGTCAGCACAACTGGACTAAACCAAAGCTAAGAAGTTTCCTGAATACAACCAAACACTTCGAGGGACAGAGTAGCAGGGGCGGGGGGTCTGGGGACCATAGTTTCAGGGGACATCTAGGTCAACTGGCATAACAAAGTGTATTAAGAAAATGTTCTGCATCCCACTTCGGTGAGTGGCGTCTGGGGTCTTAAAAGCTAGCAACCGACCATCTAAGATGCATCAATTGGTCCCAACCTTCCTGGAGCAAAGGAAAATGAATAACATCAAAGATACAAGGAAACTATTAGCCCAAGAGACAAAAGGGCCACATAAACCAGAGACTCCATCAGCCTGAGACCAGAAGAACTAGATGGTGCCCGGCTACCACCAATGACTGCCCTGACAGGGAACACAACAGAGTCCCCGACGGAGCGGGAGAAAAGTGGGGTGCAGCACTCAAATTCTAGTAAGAAGATCAGACTTAATGGTTTGATTGAGACTGGAGGGACCCTGGAAGACATGGCTCCCAGGCCTCTCTGTTAGCACAAAACTAAAACCATTCCCAAGGCCAACTCTTCAGACAAAGATTAGACTGGGCTATGGGACATAAAATGATACTCGTGAAGAGTGTGCTTCTTAGCTCAAGTAGATACATTAGACTAAATGGGCAGCTCCTGTCTGGAGGTGAAATGAGAAAGCAGAGAGGGTCAGGAGCTGGCCGAATGGACATGGGAAATCAGGGGTGGAAAGGAGGAATGTGCTGTCACAGCATAGGGAGAGCAATTAGGGTCACATAACAAAGTATGTATAAATTTTTGTATGAGGGACTAACTTGAATTGTAAACTTTCACTTAAAGCACAACAACAACAACAAAAAAGAACCTTCCCCCAGAGCCAACAGAGAGAGAAAGCCTTCCCCTGAAGCTGGGCCCTGAATTCAGACTTCTAGCCTCCTAAACCGTGAGAGAATACATTTCTGTTTGGTAAAGCCATCCACTTGTGGCATTTCTGTTATAGCAGCACTAGATAACTAAGACAAAATGTGATTTTCTAACAGGCTTGAAATTCGGGCACATAAAGAAGGAAAGGACTTTCTAAATGCCACCCTGAGGCATATACATGTGAAAATGAGGAAAACCCATTACCACAACAGTGTGTTAAAAAAAAAAACTGTACTTACACAGATTATAACAATATTGGGAACTACTTAAGATGTAATGTTAAGTTTAAAAATGGACCAAAACAACACTAGAGGCCCTAATACATGGCGTAAACAGGATACAAACCGTAACTAACAATACAAAAACACCAGAAATTAAGCTAGATAACTGGGATCTTCTAAAAATTAAACACTTATGCTCATCAAAAGACTTCACCAAAAGAGTAAAAAGAGAACTTACAGGGTGGGGAAAAACATTTTGACTATGACAAATCTGACAAAGATTTAATCTCTAAAATCTACAGGAAGATCCAACACCTCTACAACAAAAAGACAAATAATCCAATTAAAAAATGGGCAAAGGATATGAACAGACACTTCACCAAAGAAGACATTCAGGTGGCTAACAGACACATAGGGAAATGCTCGTGATCACTAGCCATTAGAGAAATGCAAATTAAAACCACAATGAGATACCATCTCATCCTGACATTACTGGCACGAATCAAAAAAACAGAAAACAAGGAATGTTGGAGAGGCTGCAGGAAGACTGGAACTCTTAAGCATTGCTGGTAGGAATGCAAAATGGTACAACCATTTTGGAAAATGATATGGCGCTTCCTTAAAAGGTTAGAAATAGAAATACCATACGATCCAGCAATCCCACTCCTAGGAATATATCCTAGAGAAATAAGAGCCGTCACATGAATAGACATATGCACACCCATGTTCATAGTGGCATTATTCACAATAGCAAAAAGATGGAAACAACCTACGTGTCCATCAACAGATGAATGGATAAACGAACTATGGTACATACACACAATGGAATATTATGCAATGATACAGAACAATGATGAATCTGAGAAACATCTCATAACATGGATGAATCTAGAGGGCATTATGCTGAGTGAAATAAGTCAATCACAAAAGGACAAATATTGTATGAGACCACTATTATAAAAACTCATGGAAAGGTTTACACACGAAAAGAAACAATCTTTGATGGTTACGAGGGAGGGGAGGGGTGGGGAGGAAAAACCAGCATATAGACAATAGATAAGTGATAACTTTGGTGAAGGATAAGGCAGTATATGGTACTGGAGAAGCCAGCACAACTTCTACAAGGCAAGGTCATGGAAGCTTCACAGACACATCCAAACTCCCTGAGGGACCGAATTACTGGGCTGAGGGCCGGGGATCATGGTCTCCGGTGACATCTAGCTCAACTGGCATAACATAGTTTATAAAGAAAATGTTCTACATCCTACTTTGGTAATTAGCATCTGGGGTCTTAAAAGCTTGTGAGCGGCCATCTAAGATACTCCATTGGTCCCACCCGGTCTGGAGCAAAGGAGAATGAAGAAGACCAAAGACAGAAAGGAAAGATTAGTCCAAAGGACTAATGGACCACAAGTACCACAGCCTCCACCAGACTGAGTCCAACACAACTATATGGTGCCCAGCTACCACCACAGACTGCTCTGACAGGGATCACAATAGAGAGTCCCAGACAGAGCTGGAGATAAATGTAGAACAAAAAATTCTTCTAACTCACACAAAAAGATCAGGCTTACTGGTCTGACAGACACTGGAGAAACCCTGAGAATATGGGCCCTGAACAACCTTTTAACTCAGTACAGAAGTCACTCCTGAGGTTCACCTTTCAGCCAAAGATTAGACATAAAACAGAACGAGACCAAATGGGCACACCAACCCAGGAGCAAGGATGAGAAAGCAGGAGGGGACAGGAAAGCTGATAATGGGGAAACCAAGGTTGAGAAGGGGAGAGTGTTGACATGTCGTGGGGTTGGCAACCAATGTCACAAAACAGTATGTGTATTAATTGTTTAATGAGAAACTAATTTGCTCTGTAAACCTTCTTCTAAAGCACAATTTTAAAAAGTTGAAAAAAAATTTTTTAAACGGAACAAAAAATGATATATTAAATATGATCACAATGCAATAAGAAACTTAAACCATTGCATGCAACAAAAGGATTGAAAGAAAACACACCAAGATCTTGATGATTACCTTTTGTTATGGATTGAATTATGTCCCCCCAAAATGTGTGTTGTAAATCCTAACCTCTTTGCCTGTGGTTATAATCCCATTTGAGAATGGGTTGTCTTTGTTATGTTAATGAGGCAGGATTAGTGTAGAGTGTATCTTGAGTCAATCTCTTTTGAGATACAAAAGAGACTATACAAGCCAGCAAAGCAGAGACCAGGGAAGAGAGATGCCAAGCCACATGAAGATTGCCCAGGAGCAGAAGCTCAGAAGAGACAAGGACCTTCCCCCAGAGCCAACACAGACAGAAATCCTTCCCCTACAGCTGGCGTCCTGAATTCAGACTTCTAGCCTCCTAAACTGTGAGAGAATAAATTTCTGTTTGTTAAATCCATCCACTTGTGGTATTTCTGTTATAGCAGAACTAGATGACTAAGACAGAATTTGGTACTGAGAAGTAGGAGTGCTGCTCTAACAGATACCTAAAATGTGGAAGTGGTTTTGGAATTGGGTAACAGGCAGAGGCTGGAAGAGTTTTAAGGCACCTGATAGTAAAAGCCAAGATTGCCTTGAAGAGACTGTTGGTAGAATTATAGACATCAAAGGCAATTCTGGTGAGGGCTCAGAAGGAAATCAGGAGAGCTATAGAGAAAGTCTCTATCATCTTAGAGAATACATATGGCACCAGCAACAGAATGTTGCTAGAAATGTGGACA